TCAATTTTAGTAACTAAGTTGTGGTTGGAAGCACCATCATTCAGAAAAAACAAAATCATGAGGCAATGAAGCAAAGTTCTTTTGATTTTAAATGCGTCATGCAACGACTCTTCAAGAGTCACTCATCTCCAAAGTCAGGTAAGCTTTTATTAAAACATGCCTTTGATAAAAGACTACCTTTCTCCTTTTTCCAGCACTCTGTGGAAGGTGACTCGGGTTAAAGTGATGTTCTTAGTAATAATTATCTCTATAAGATCCATGCTATCATTTATGTAAGTCCTTGAAAATGATGCCATTTTGTGCGACTGGGACAAAATTGCAACCATGATTATAAACCCTTCCATCAGGCAACCCCACTGGCAAACAATGGCAGGAATAAGAGGCCTTTCTGTGCTCTTCTACTGATGCTGCCCTAGACTCTGCTAGCAAGATGTATGTAAAAGAAAAGATGTACAGAAATACTGGCATAGGAGAGTAACTTGCACTATTGCTTTGAGATGTTTATAGCATTAAAGCTGCTTAATTATCAATAGAGGCCCTGAAAAAGTTAAAGGAGTATTTTAACTAGCAATAAAACTATCATGATTACCAGAAATTCTGTCCTTCACCGGAGGTTGTTTTTATGCTCAACAAAATGATGTGAAATTAACTATTTTCATCAACAGATGGTCTGTAGGATAATGGCTTGTACTTTTTAATTTCCTTTTTGGCAGTACATCATGCCAAATGTTAGCAATGTCAACAGTCTTCATTAGAAGTTGTCTGATATTATTGGGATGTTTTGTACAGACATTCATTTTCCCCCCCAATATTAGAAATGGAAATCAGAGAAGTTTAAGGAGTACAGAAAGATAAAAAAAAATTAATATACTTAAGTGAAGGGAAAAGGAATCCATATCAAATTCCAAGATTAAAAATTTAAGGTTTAAAGTTTTTATTATTTCTTTTCATCTCCACGGCATTGCTGTAATTCAGAAACCAGTAATCTTTACTCTCACAAAAAACATCTTTTGTCCCTAACCCTTATTCTTAACAAGGGGTAAGTGATGCCCCATTTATAACATTTTTCAATTCATAGAGTCCACATGTGGCCGTGTACTAGCATAGCCAGACAGAGTGTACATTTCAAAAAACTAAACCTCATAAATCTCCAGAAATTCCTCACATCTATTATGTTTACCTTCTGCTGCTGATGAGCCTGTTGGGCTCTGTACAGAGGAAATTACAAGCGCTCCAGAAGATTTGGCAAGAAGATGCTAGAAGAAACAATGGGCAAAAAAAAAAAAAAAAAATTCTTAACTGAAGCATCATATCCAGCTTTGGCTACCATTTACATATTTGAGATTACTAGCTAGTAAAGTGGAAATTCCACTGAAATGGAATAAATTGTTTTCTGAAATCCCTATCTGATTATTGTTGGTGATGTCTGAAATTAAACATTTTAAGCTACACTCAATACACTGTATGGAATTCAACTGAAGGTTAACATTCTTATTGAAAATCTGCCTGTTTATGCAGTTTTCCAATTAAGAATCAAAGTATTTGTATCTACCTGAAACTTTTGCTTCTAGCCTTGTGATCACTTTTGTATTAATCTATATTATCCAATAAATCTTTATTTAATAGATATTTGGAGGCTGTTGTAACAGCTGCTATCTAGTAAGAAAGTGCCAGTTGAAATATTTTATATTCATACATTTAATATCACTGGAAATAAGCTTAAAGTTGATGCCAAGGGAAATGCTTATGCCTAAGACATATGCTGCAGAATGTTAAGAAGTTTGTAAGTCAAAAAATCTTCCACCAAAACTATGTATACACAATGAAAACACAATCAAAGTAAAAAAAAAGTACAAGAAAAAATAGCCTAACCACTAAGCTGGCCTTTTTTTCTTTACTCATTCTAAATATCAATTTTCCTACTGAATTGACTGGTTATCCTGAAGACACAATTTTATAATCCATATAAGGAAATGGTCTTAAAGAAAGCTTCATTACTCTTGTGTTTGAAGATGACTTAATTTGTATGCTTCAATTTCACTAAACATGTTATTGCTATTGGCTATTACATTTCATTCATTATAAAGATAAAAATGAATAAGAATATAAATTTTAAAAAAGAATAAGAATGTGCAGATTCATTTGACAGGAATCACTCTTGAAATAAAGTTGGAGGTAAAGCTACTCCTAAGGAACAAATAGAAGAAAACAAAACAAAATGGAACCACTGGATGAAGATCAGGTGTCTACTATTCCCCATAAAAAGTAAAAAAAAAGAAAAGAAAAAAAAGATCACAATTTATGTACCTTACCAAGAAGAGAAGTCATAAAGTCATCAATTAACCTCAAACACAACCTGTCAAATCAGCAAATACTGGCATATTTATCAATTATGGGCCCAACCACTTATCTGATATACTAACCATTCATCTCCCCTTGTACCATTCCCCTAGTCCTTAAACCATCCCCAAATGGGTAAACCAAGGTCCTGTAAGAGGTC